TGTATCCAGAGGCAGACTGGCCTGAGCTTGTCCCCGAATCCCAGACACAGGTCCTGGGTACAGGATGAGGGATTGCAGCTGTTGGCCTGAAGCTCTTTTTCTTCTGAGTGTCATTTTTAAGCATTGAATCACAAAACTATGAAACCGTCTTTTAGGAAGCAGTATACTTCTGCCAGTGATGCTGCTGCTGTTGAAGGCATTTTTCACGCATGTGGCCTGTTAATCAACCAGCAGCTGTTACCATTACCCTACAGTCCCAGGGTATGTTAATAATCAGTGTTTGCACAGGACTGCAGTTGACAGACTCGGTAGCCTTACATCTTCATTTCATCTTCACAACATCCTGTTCTTACTGTTGCCTGGCCTGCCTCTTTGCAGACCAGGAAACTGTTGCCCAGCAGCTAAGGAAGGAAGGGGATTAACCATATAAGGAGCCGTCTGTACCAAGGGCTTTTGCAGAACTCCTTTCATCCCACACGGATGCTATGAGGGAGACTTAATTTTTCCCATTTTGCAGATGAAAAACTGAGGCCATGCAGCTGGTAAGGGGCAGAGCTGGGGGTGGCACTGGGTCTGTCTGATGTGCTCTTTCCACCATCCAGGCTGCCTGAGGCCACCTGCCCCTTGCTGCCGTCTTCTCTTTGTAACTCCACCCCTGCCTTCCTCCTCTTCAGTGTCACGTCAGTCACTTTGCCCGTTTTCTGAGCCAGCAGCCTGCCTGAGTCTGTGCCAGGACACTGTGTCATGGGCGGGGCCTTGGGTACCAAAATGGACACAGAAGGCAGTGCCAAGTTGAAAAGCGCTGTTATCTCAGGTGTATGGAGGGTCAGTATGGAGGGTCAGTAGGCTTTTAAAGCATTTACTGACAAAGTTCTTAATATATACATCACACATTATATAAATATACTTATATGTATATACATATACACACTTACATGTGTCTATCTACCTGCATAGATATAGATATCCATCCATGTATCTATCTATTTCTATTTATCTGTCTGTCTATAGCTCCATAGAGAAAAGCTAAGCTCCATATCACTTTAGTATATCAGACATTCATTTACATTTTTAAACATTGTGTAATCAGTATACTTACTAGTTTGTGTTTTTTTCCTTAATGTATCATTTCATTTACATTTTTCCACATTTCTCCTCAGTGCACACATTTGCCATTCGTAAGAACTACTTAGTATTTCCTGTTAGCCTGCATAGAATCCTTGATTGACCAATTGAGCTGCTAACCTTTTATGGCCTGCTGAGAAATTTAACACATAGCATTATTTGTATAGGAAATTAAGTTCTGAGTTTGGCTTAAGAATAAGATTTTTTTGAAAAATTGTTTTGTAAGTTTGTTGTTGTTTGCTGTTGAGTCAGTTCTGACTCATGGCAGCCTCGTGTGTCAGAATAGAACTGTGTTCCATAGGGTTATTATTATTTTTTAAATAATACTGTGTTTTTGGTGCAAGTTTACACAGCAAATTAGGTTTCCATTTAATAGTTTCTATGCATATTATTCAGTGGCATCGGTTACATTTTTCACAGTATGTCATCATGCTCATTATTTCTGTTCTGGTTCCATACGGTTTTCAATGGCTAATTTTTCAGAAGTAGATTGCCAGGCCTTTCTTCTGAGGTGCTTCTGGGTGGACTTACACCACCAGACTTTGAGTTAGCAGCTGAGTGCATTTACCCCAAGTAGAACTGCTCCATAGAGTTTCCAAGGCTGTAATCTTTATAGAGCAGACTATCGTATCTTTGCCTCATGGAGTGGCTGGTGGGTTGAACCGCTGACCTTTTGGTTAGCAGCTGAGCGTTTAACTATTGTGCCACCAGGGCTCCGAGTGCATTAACCAAACCAAACCAAACCAAACCCACTGCCGTTGAATCCATTCCGACTTATAGTGACCCTATAGGACAGAACTGCCCCATAGGGTTTCCAAGGAGCAGTCAGTAGATTTGAATTGCCAACCTTTTGGTTAGCAGCCAGGCTCTTAACCACTATGCCACCAGAGCTCCCCCAAGTGCATTAACCAGAAAAAAAAAAAAACAAAAACAACCAAACCTGTTGCCGTCGAGTCGATTCTGACTCATAGTGCTCTTGAAAGATACATTTTAAGAAGTTTTATAAAGGGACACCTGATCAGTATGAGCATCAGTCACAGAAGGGTCCCCTGGGCTAGTGGGAATTGGGCTGACATCTCAAGGATAAATTGGAGTTGGCTAAGTGATGGTAGGGTGGGCATTCCAGAATAGAGAACAGCATGGGCAAAGATCCTAAGGCAAGAAGGAGCAAGACCTAATGGAGGAATCCAAAGAAGACCAATGTGGTCATATGTAGTGTACACAACATGAGACTGGAGAGGGACAGGAGCTGGGTCACACACGGCCTTGTAGGCCACGTTAAGGATTTGGTCTTTATTCTAAGAGCAAAGAGGAGCGACTAAAGGGTTATTGTAAGTGGTCTGGAGGCAGGTATGGAGATGATCAGATGTATATTTTGAAAAGTTCGCACTGGCTGTAGTGTGGAAAACAGACAGGAAAGAAGCATGAAGGGGTTCAGGAACGTCGGTTAGGAGACCCTTACAGCATTTTAGGTGCAAGGCAATGGTGGCCTGGACTAAGGTGGTGACTGTAAAGAGGAAAGAAGGAATTTGAGAGAAAGTCAGGAGATGAAATTCACGGGACTTGATAGGCTGGATATGAAGTGAGAAGAGGGAGTTTTTAAGGACAAGCCCTAGGCTTTGGGTTTATAAGACTGGAATGACAGTAGGGCCATTCACTGAGTCAGGGACCAAGAGGGAGGATCAGATTTAGGGGGAACATAGTTGGTTCAGTTTGGAACATATTAGAGTCTGAGACACTTGTTGTCTCCAGGCATGGATGTCCAAAAGGTATTGAAAGTTCTAATTCAGCAGCTAATACATGCTGCATTTAACTCCACTCTGACAGAAGACTAGTGGTTCCTTACAGATTACCTAAAACCAGTATAAAGAGAACTTGCTGAATAATGAAGTATTTTCTTGAAGTCACGAACTTCTAACAATACTGTACAAACAATATATGATATAATAAAACCATTTCAGAAATATCTGTATAAGTTCAGAGATGGTGGCTGACTGCGCCGCTTTGAATGTGTGTTGCTCTCCACAGTCCTGCCAGTAATCCAGTCTTCCACATCAGGAAACTTTCAGGTCAGCCGCCATCTTTGAGTGGGGCACTGCTGCCTGTTTCCTACTCCGGTCAGAATCCCATTAGCAAGAAATTCGGTTGCTATGCAGTGTGTACGCTGGCCTTGTTTCCTTCGGCTGTGACTGAACCGCTTAGAACCGATTCGAAGCCCTCATACTGACTGCTAAATCATGGCCCTGTTCTCAGATCTTAAATTCCATTCGTCCAGCTAGAAAGGTTTGGTTTACATTAAAAGATTTGTGCAGACAACTCTTTTCTTTCATCTGAAATTAAGGGAGCATAAGATTTATAATCAACTCCAAATGTTTGTTTTATATACATAGTAAGTTGAGGGAAAAATAAGAATTTTCCTTTATCTAGTTGTTATTTTAGAGATTAATTTCTGGATGGTAGTACATGGAGCATTTAGATGAACATTTCATGGAATAGTTGACATGGGGAAAAACCTGCAGTAGCAACTGCCAGAAATGACAGTCAGCAACAGAGTTGCCAGGTAATCGATAATATGGATTGGACATTTGCTGCAGATGGAGCCCCAAAGGGAGCCTCATCTGATGGAGCCTCTCTCAGTGTTCCAGTAACGTCCCAGGCTAATAGTAACCAACTTCCTTTAAGATAGAAATATGTTCCCATAGCACACAAAAAGGAATGTGTAGTATTTTGGGAGTTTTTATGATTTTACCAACGTAATAGAACATATATATAGCAATGGATTAGAGGGGTGGGATAGGATAGGTGGTACTGAGGACTGATGTAGGGCAGCTGGATTTCTTTTTGCTATAAACTGTGGTTTAGTACACTACCAGAAAGTCTTCAGAATATGGAGGCTATTTCCCCGATAGGTTGCTGGTTGTCCCGAGCAGTCTTTAAGGGGCCTAAGACAATAGAGAGACTTAGCCTGTTGTGTGAATTACTGTGACTCTTTTTTGCATCTTTCAGTGCTTTCCTGAGTCGTCTTCAGGCTCAGGGTCCCCCTGGGCAGACAGTGCCAGGGTCTTCCAGTGATGGACTTGGCATGCAGCCAGGCCCAATAATTGTTGAATGGATGAAGCTCTTTCTTGGAGCGCAGGACACCTGTGGAAAGCCTCTGTTGGCTCCAGATTGATTTGTCAATGGAAAGATGTGCATAAGGCAGGTAGCATCTTACTTAGTAGCTTTCCCACCTTGGTCAGTTGCCTAAACCACTTTAAGTCTTTTCTTTCATCTGTAAAATGGAATTATAGTAGTACCTGCCTCACAGAGTTGTTAAGATTAAATGGGATAGTGTTGGTAAAGCACTTAGAGGCTTGGCCCATGAAAACTTATAATTGTTATTGGTTCAAAATCCTTTTGATATCATCTTCATTAATTAAGACTGTGTCTGGTGTGAACCTCTGTAGCTCTCAGCTGTTCTTTCCTCCAAGAAAGAATTCCTGCTGCTTCAATAATTCCTGGCCAGTAGTACACTGGTGTGCTTTTGTGTATGTGTGTGGGTGGGGGCCTTGCATTTTCTCAAGAACAAAATAAACCATCATACATCTTTATTTAAACAGAATATCTGCCCAACAGGTAGGGTCTTGTGAGAACGAGTAAGAATACTCCCTTGGTATACTTTAATCCATCATGTCCATGGGGGATAGAGCAGTGTGGTTAATTATAGCAACATTCCTGTGCTGCCACTGCCTAAGCTTACAGTTTATGAAATGCTGCCACACTGATGATTTCTGCCAACAATCCAAGTGGAAGAGTTTTATCATCACAGTCCTCATTTGACAGATGAGGAAATTCAGACCCAGAGAGGCTGTGGGGGTGGGGGGTAGGGGGGCCGGGTCTTGTACCTAGGTGTCCTGCTCTGGAGCTGGAGCACTTTTCAGTTAGCCTCAGCTGTCAGCCCTTACCATGGAGGGCACTTTGGTGTTGCAGTCTATCTGAGTGATATTTAATGGGATCCTAATTGCACATGGATAGCCAGAAAGTTCTGCTCCTGTTTTGGCACTTTCCTTTGCCAGGGAGTACTCTCTGAGGACCCACATAAGCTGGAAGAAAAAAAACCAACAACAAACTCAGCACTAATCATCTGGAAAGGGCAGGACACTGCTGTTAGGCAGTTATTGGACCTATGAACAGGAAAACATCAAGATCACAATTTTACAGCATTCGTTTCTTTAAAACATCAAATGGAGCGCCAGTACAGCCGTCAGGTTTATGGCGCCTCCAGAATTAGATTAGACAGCTTGGTTTCATGCTGTGTACTCTCATGTCTGGTTATGAAATGCTGGTTATGGGTAGTGCTCATGCTTATTTTCCCCGATCTGCCAAGAAAAAGCTTTTCTCTTGTTCCTTGTGCGTCCAAGATTCTTTTTTGTTTCTTACTCCATCATTTCTGCCTTCTGCCCTGTTCTTGGCCTTTGAGAGAGCAATGAAATGGATCTTCAGGAATGGACAGAGTGGAGGCCCTGCCTGGTGTCAACTTTGTACCCAGGGTCTGGGTTGCTAAGGAGCAGGCTCTTGCCCCAGGAGATGAGGCCACGAGTCAGAGGGGCAAACAGTGCAGACGAGTAGAGCCAAGACCAAAGCTCAGCCAATTGTGCCCTGTGCCTGTGGAAACAGCTGCTCACCTCTGGTTCCTAATGTAAAATATCTGAAGTAGTTGATTGACCTTGATGGCGATTTGCCCTTTTTTTGATGCAGTTACACAGCAACAGCCTGTTACAAAGCAGTTGCCTCTAAAGTGGTGCCCTCCAATGTGGGTGTAGACTGGATTAACTAATTACTGGTGCCCAGGAATAGCTGGTACTGCATCTCCCACTGAGTTCCTGTGATTCCGTCACCTCTTCCCGTGTGTTTGTGCGGTAAGTAAATGTAATGTGTTCCTGATATCCTAAGTTGTTTTTAGACCTGTGAGTCTCAATTCCAGCGTGGGCATTGGATGGGGGGCACGTTGTACCACGTATGTTTGTGATTACTGGGGAATGTTTTCAATTTGTATGTCTTCCATTCTGCCCTCCCCAATTATGATAAGCCCTGAGATGGGGAGAGACGGCTGATCTTTTGTGTGTTGAAGATGTTCCCTAGGATTTTTTGGTATACCTACCCTCTCCCTAACCCCAAGATGCAGCTGCACTTCGAGAACCATGATTGAGAAGGTGGTTAGGGCTGACAAGTTGTCCCACCTGCCGTCTTTTGGGAGGGGCGCATCAGGCTCGTGGTTCCAGGGAGCCAGGGGAGCCATTTTCAGCGTTTCAAAAGGCTTAATAGAAACTGTACATTTACCCAGGATGAGGACACAAAAGGTACCCAGACCATCAAGTTTCCTTGCTTTTGTTTGGAATTGTATCAACTCTGTATGGGTTCATGCTGATTCCAAGTTCTGATTGGCTGTGGATGACATAATAGGAATTTCTGAGACAGGATTGGTCTAATTCTAGACACTGTTACCAGAGCCAGTATCAGGTCTCACTACCCAAACTGAATGTACTCAGTGTCTTTAGACTGGGATTGACCTTGAATGTGAGTGCCCTTGACTATCAAAATTAAGCAACTAATTGTTTCTTGCTTACTTAGCTATGCTTATCATCACACCTGTGGCATGATTTGATTTCATAATGTTATTATAAACCCTTTATAAATATGGATTGTTGGTTAAAATTTGAATCAGTGTTTAAATGGAAAAACAGTAAACAGAATTAATCGATTACTGATAAACATTGGTTGTTAGAATCTTGCAAAACACATGGCCAACATGGGGAGGGGACAAAAAATAGGGGGCCGGCGAAGGTACGGGCCTCATTCACTGTCCTCATTTTAAAAATGATCCTTTTAGCCACCTTTGCACTAAGAACAAAGATAACTCTTTCACTGTGAAACACTAACTAGACCCTATAGCCTCCTAGGATCCTACTGATTGAGCAGACTTTTTCCTAGTTGTGTTCAGCGTATGCTTATCATCCTAAATTCTCTTTCATTTTCTATCACAGTGTGTGTTGTTGTTGTTGTATGTCGTTTTTCGGAGCACTGGAGTCAATTTCAATTCATAGCGACCCCATTTGACAGAGTAGAACTGTCACGTAGGGTTTTCTAGGCTGCAGTCTTTTACGGGAGTAGATCGTCAGGTCTTTCTCCCGTGGAGCTGATGGGTAGGTTCTAACTGCCAACCTTTCGGTTAGCAGCCGAGCACTTTGACGTTGCACCACCAGGGCTTCTTTACAACGTATCCAAACCCAAACCAAACCTGTTGCTGTCGAGTCAATTCCAACTCATAGCGACCCGATAGGACAGAGTAGAACTGCCCCATAGGGTTTCGAAGGAGCAGCTGGTGGATTCGAACTGCCCACCTTTTGGTTAACCGCCAAGCTCTTAACCACTGCACCCCCAGGGCTCCTTCCAATGTATAGACCCTTCCTTATGCCCACGTTTCCTTATGTTTACCTTTCTCAGTGGTCAGGGCTGCCTGAAATAAACCTGAGACAGGCTAGGGTGAAGTCAGATAGTTCAGGATAATCTAGTTCTGGTGACTGGAGAAGGATGGAGACAAGCAGTTTGTTTGAGCCTTGATAACACGGTGTGTGAGTCCACCAGGTTCAGTCGGTGTGGATAAAAAAGATGTGTTCAGTGCCTGTTGCTGCTGCTGCTGATAATAATAATTGCTTACATATGCCAAGCGTTACTTAATTCTCCCAGCAACCCCTATGAGGTACGCACTATTATCTCCATTTTATGTATGAGGAAAAAGAGACCCTTTGAAGTAACTTGTTTGAGGTTGATAAGTGGTAGAACTGGGATCTGAAGCTGGGTCTATATTATGCCAGAGTTTGAGTCCTTAACCAGGTGTTCTGTACAGGGGTGTTACTCGACAGGGGCCAATCAATTCTCAGCTGACTTTAGAAAGCTAATCACCCTCCACCTTAATCCTCCAAGAAACAAATCTATTACTATATATTAAAGTTATAGAGGCTGAGTATTAAAACAGAATAGAGTAAACCGTTTAGGTAAGCAGAAGCCCCTGAGAACTTCCTGTTCACATTAGGGATTTGTTAGTCTTCCTAAGGACAGAGTGGTGTGAATGGCCAGTCCACATTCCGTCTTCCCTTGGGTTCCGTCCCTTAGTCTGCCTGAAAGTATCGCAAACTTGAATGAGTACAGCAATTACATGGGGTAACCTGATCATGCACAGTACTTTGTGGGAGACTCAAGAAGAGATTCTAAGGGGTAATTTTGCCTATAGGTAGTTGCTTTTTGCCCTGACTTTGAAACCTAACCGCCACTGGGGAGTGGCTGCAAAGTGCCTCTGCATATCAGAAGTTATCTGTATGCCCTGCTCCATTTTCTTGGCACGTTTTAAATTTTCCCATGTTCACCCTGATGCCTTCCTCCATGGTGATCTTGGAAGTCATTCAAGCAGTCCTTCTTAGCTGAGTTTAGCCCTTCAGCTGTTCCAGGACACTTTTCGTGCCCAGGGACTGTGTCGGCCAGTCTACTGCATGGAACCATGTCTCAGAAGGCTGCTGCTTTGACTGCTACCTGGCCTCTGTGTGTCTGGGGGCAGGCAGATCCAATTCCTCCATATGTTTCCAAGGTCTTGTTTCTGTTGAAGGAGAAAATTTTGCACATGAATCAAAGCAGACTTATCCTTCTGGATTGAAAATTGGGGCTCAGACCTAGAAGTCTGGTTCGGGCAAATGGGCAAGAAGTGTCTGGGTTTTACCCCCTCGGACTTTGGTTTCCCTTTCTATAGAATTGTCTTTTTCTGCATGGGCAGGGGCCCTGATTTGAGGGTCTTGGTGTTATCTGAACTCAGAAGGTGTTTTTCTTTTGAATTACGTTATAAGTAGTGGTTTTGTGTAGTTGACAGGGTACCGCAATACCACAGTAAAGTTATGTTTTGAATTATGTAAGTCTTGTGCATCTAGGAACCTATTTTCCGTTTATTATATTTCAGTAGATAAATGGATTCTGAGTTTTAAACAGCAGACTTAAAGACGAACTTTTAGAATTCAGTTTACTCGTGGTTGGGGGTTCACTTAGGATGGCTTGTATGGTACACATATATACTAACAAATGTTGGAGTTGTTCCAGGAGGAAGGCCTGGGGCCCGCTTCAAGTGTCACTCATGGAGGATGCTAGAACTTAGCAAGGCAGAGGGGAAAAGGGAGGTGCAGGGAGCTGCATGAACGGAGGTGGGAAGGAGGATGGTTTTTGCACGAGCCAGCAGTTTTTCAGACCCAACCAGAACGTTGGGAACATGTTGGAGAGTTATTGAAAACAAGGTCAAGGAGTTAGAGGGTCCGGGTTTTGTTAGGCCCTGAAAGCCAAGGAGATTTAGATGAGACACAGAAACATAGGTTTCGGAGCAAAAAAGTGACAAGATGAGAGTAGTATTATTTAAAGAAGGTTGGTCCAGCAGCAGGAGCCCTGGTAGCACAGTGGTAAAGCAATCAACTACTAACTGAAAGGCTGGCCGTTCAAAACCACCAGCTGCTCCGCAGGAGAAAGATGTGGCAGTCTGCTTCCATAGAGATTTACAGCCTTGGAAACCCTATGGGGTTGCTATGAGCTGGAATCAACTCGGTGACAATGGGTTTGTTTTTTGTTTTTTGTTTTTTGAGTCTGGCAGCGGAGTGACAGGTGGGTTGGAGCTTGAGGGCGAGGGTGAAGTGAAAGAGAACTGCTGAGGCATGAGAATGATGGAAGAACTGTCAACAGAACTTGGGGAATTATCGAGGTTTGGAGAATAAAGAAGAAATGACCCCAAGATTTGGGGCCTTGTTAACGAGATGGAAAAACTAATCATTAACTTTATATGGAAAGGAAAGAGGCCCCGGATAAGTGAAGCACTCTTGAAAAAGAAGAATAAAGTAGAAGGACTCAATTACCTGACCTCAGAACCTACTATATGGCTATGATAGTCAAAACAGCCTGGTACTGGTACAGCGACAGACACATTGACCAAAGGAACACAATCGAGAACCCAAATGTAAATCCATCCACCTATAGTCATCTGATCTTCGACAAAGGCCCAAAGTCCATTAAAAGGGGGAAAGACAAATGGTGCTGGCAGAACTGGATGTCTGTCTGTAAAGAAATGAAACACGACCCATACCTCACATCATCCAAAAAAACTGGTTCAAAATGGATGAAAGACCTAAATATAAAACCAGAAGCTGTAAAGATCATAGAAGAAAAAATACAGTCAATGCTGGAGGCCCTAATACATGACATAAATAGGATGCAAACCATAACTAACAATATATAAACACCAGAAGATAAGCTAGATAACTGGGGGATCTTCTAAAAATTAAACACTTAGGCTCATCAAAAGACTTTACCAAAAGAGTAAAAAGAGAGCCTGTAGACTGGGAAATATTTTTTGGCTATGACAAATCCAACAAAGGTCTAATCTCTAAAATGTATAGGAAAATCCAACAAAAACAAAAAAGACAATCCAATTAAAAAATGGGCAAATAATTTGAACAGACACTTCACCAAAGAAGACATTCAGGTGGCTAACAGTCACAGGAGGAAATGCTTGCAATCAGTAGCCGTTAGAGAAATACAAATCAAAACTACAATGAGATACTATCTCACCCCAACATTACTGGCACGAAAAAAAAAAAAAAAGAGAATAACAAATGTTAGAGAGCCTGTGGGAAGATTAGAACTCTTATGCACTGTTGGTGGGAATGTAAAATGGTAACAACCATTTTGGAAAACAATATGGCGCTTCCTTAAAAAGCTAGAAATAAAAATACCATACGATCCAGTAATCCCACTCCTAGGAATATATCCTAGAGAAATAATAATAATGTATCTGTCACACAGATAAATATATGCACACCCATGTTCATTGCAGCAC